ATGCATGAATGCCGGCCTAGAGCTCCGCAAAGGTGTTCTTCTCTATATAACGAGCTTTAAACCCTATTGAATACCGACAATTTCTCCCATACTATACAGCGTTATACGCATATGTGTCGAAAAAATCGTTATTTCCATTAGTTATCAATACCTCTGAACGAATCCGACATGAGTCCCGTTAATCAATTATACAGAGTTGTAATTTTAATTAGAACTTCCGTATAATAATCCTTATACACAACTCGTGAGAGCGCTTTTACCTAAATATGGTAATAAAACATGTTAGAACATCGTTAAATCACTTTGTCGGAATATTACATTTTGAAAACAACGGATTTATACGTCGGAGCCATGCAGTCAGTTGTCCTAATATGCGTATATCGAAGTTTTGGCTCCTATTCGTTTCGACCAGTTTCTGCATTAAGGTAAAGATATCTTTATTCAGGGCGGCATCGTACCAACTGCAGCTGTGCCAACTAATCAGGTGCATAATAAACGTCCTACAAACTTTATAATTACTTTATAATTCCGCCTGAGAATCGTTCGTAGTGGCCGCACAGACAGAGATGAAACCACCGGAAAAGTATTAAGAGATGAACGAGTTCTTCAAATGTACTCAATGCTTCAAAGGTAGACGTTCAAAAAAAGTTTTTCGGGTGACATTTATACTTCACGCGGGAGCACAGACTCCTATCTACTAGGCGTAATATCCAATATCGAAAACTGCTTTTCCACTGTCTGCTATTCGCAGCTGCGATGAGACCTCAGGTGTCGTTGGGCCTACGAGTGACTACTGGCGTTCGTAAAAAATAAGGAGAATTCTTTCGATACCGAAGCATTTGACAGAATTGCTATTGTTCCTGGAAGGACGCGTGTTACCCAAAATGCGTCTTTTTTTTTTTTAGAAATGTAGCTTATCTTGAAAAACTATGACTACTAGCGACAATTTAAGCTTTAGTTGAAGTACACATTTTAATGAGGCTGGATTTTTGGACGGCAGAGTTGGCTATTTTGATTTACCTTCTAGAACTTTAATTTTTGAAAAAATCATATCCTTTGACACCCCTCTTGGTGAAAATGCGTATGCTGTTGAAGAACATTTTGTCCAGGTGGCCCTTTTAAAAATAGTAAAGGAATTCTTTTTGCAGTGAATATGAGCTTCAAGTGTGGTAACCCTTTTGTTGAGTGCGTAGGTTTCAAACACAGAGAACCCTTTGTTTTAGGTGTATCTATCTCAACATCGTTTAAGGTCACGTCTTCACCTTGGCATGATTACTGCAATCAACTCTCGTGCTTTAAACCTTCTTTAACTCGATATAGACAACTAGCTATTTACGATCCGGAGCTTGATGCTCTATGTAACGCACGTAAACGGTTTCAGAGCCAACCTTCGGCTACGGTTGAGATCGATCGAGTAGATTGCTTCGACCGTACAGCTCATTTGTGAAATGAGAAGCACGTATAATTGCCCTGTTACTTTTTATTAATGAGGAATCTGGCTTTGATAGTGCATCAGCGCCAGTTGGCATTGTAAACTATTAGAATCCCCAATCTAAGAGAGATAGCGGCGCGCGTCAACTTTATTAAATTATAATTTATAATCTGGTAAAATTTAGACACCGCATGACAAGACCCTGTTCAGCTTTAGCTTCAAACTACCGATAAATAAAATGTATAGCACACATATAGTAGTCATGAAATGAATTTATGATCAAATTGCTTAAGCACGCACCCTTTTGAAGTAGACATTAGATTTCAGGGGCCGTGTACCTACGGATACGGAAGCAGAAGAAATAAGAACACGTAGTACTGCAGCGATAGATGTCATAACTTTAATGCGCCATATTTTTCGAATCGAACTTGTAACTACGTCATCTTAAGATACTCGTATTATTGTGCAGTTGTGCGATCATATAATTTAACGATACCATTCAACTGTAGTAAGATATCCTAAGCATGGCAATGTATTTTGCTTGACCACGAATACGCTTAAAGGCGTACGAACCATTTAGATAGACCACCCTGTGACCCACCAAATTGTTAATTAAATCTGCGGTATCACAGATATGGCATTCACAAGGTGGACTCTCAAACTTGTTTTTTCTTGCGGCCTTTTTGTCCTGGCCAGTCTGACTGCAATCGAAGTATTCTTATGATCGCGCTGTTTTTGACAGGGCATAATTGGAAAAGCGGTGCCTGCTGACCCTAGAACTACGTCTGCCGTCCATGCCGCGTTCATAGTGAGACGTGTCAGTTGTGGGAACTTCAAACATCGTCGAAAGCATTGCCTTAGTTATACGTTTTACTGTAGATTTACATATTGTTAATCCGCGGGAAAACATAGTTTTTGATATATCTGTCCCATCCACGTACTGTGCCGAAGGCGATGTCGCTTTTGAAAAGCAGATGCAATCTTTGGCCTCCTGTCCAAGTACTCATGAGGTAAGTTTTCAGCTCCTTTCGTGACCATAGGCTGAGAAAAGTAAATTTCCGTAAGTTACCTATTTCGTAAGGAACACAGCTTTAAAGACTGCTTCACTTTGGGGAGGGCGTGTATCTTCTGCCCGAGCTAGGTTTCTGACATAATTCTCTTTTACCTTCTGAAGGAAAGTCACCTTTGCGAGAAAGGCCGCTTCGGTTGTCCGCCTGCTGCAGGTATACTGCCATCAAAAAATACCGTTGTTGGCTCGTTCGGATGCTTTTAACTTTTGTTGTGTTTGCATTGCTTGCTTATTTGTGCCTGATAGAAAATTGTGGAGATACTCGAAAGTTGATAGACCTGCTAAGAGCAAAGCAAAAGAGAACAGTAATATTCTAAGGATAAAAACAGTACCTTGAGTGCAACATGGAAGTAATAAATAGTTAAATGCAATTATCGCACGGAATTACAAACTAAAAAAACATGGTTGAGATAAATATGCGCCTTACAACAAAAAAAAACTTGTGAAATTCAAAAGGTCTTTTAGTTGATCATGGTAACTGGCCACAACTTATTGCTTACTTATTGCAGGAATCCAGGGTTAAAGAATGCGGCATACATTAAGGCTGCCTCTGATTCAGGCACTGAATGGATGTGTCTCGCATAAAATCATCTGCTTTTATGTAGTCTAATAATACTGAACTCCAAATGCGCTATTCCGGAATGTATCTAATCGATGACGTACTTAATTTTCATCGAAGAAAATGTAGGCCTGTTAAACGCTATTAGATAAACCTGCGATAAAAAGCAACGAATTAAACATGAGTGGAAGGAACTGCGGTAAGTATGTAGTTTGAGTAAATTTAAGTTTGCAGTTATGCAAACTTATCTATGCAAAAAGGACCTAGTCGGTTAAGGAAACGTCTTTATCAGCGTTTGCAACGTACTAGCGACGCTCTATACCCGACAGAACCTACTCAATTATGAGACAATACACACTGATAAAATGTAATAAAGGTGTGCAGAAAACTTTATTGGCCCGTGCACCAGGCGTTGCAGATGTAGGGGAGGCAGACCAGTGTTTATTGGAATACTTTTTTTTCTCTACTTTTCGTCGGAGCAAGCTGCTCCTTTTTTTTTGAGTGACGTACTTCGCCGAGGGAACGCCCTTCATTAAAGCAATCTAACTAGAGTCTTTTGCCATAGCTGCTTCCATCACTGGACTGACGCTTCTTGTCTGCGCCATGCTTCACGATTCAAAACAGTAAAAACAAAAATCGCACTCCTTTTTGAAGTTTCGCTTTTTGTTGGGGTTAAGCTATTACCGTTGGTACAGATTCAACGAGAATTTCGTTTCTTACGATTTTTGTAAGAATCGCCATTTTTTCGAAGCCTCATTTTTTATGCCAGGCACACTTTTCACTGAAAATTGGATTTTTGGCAAAACTGCGCCTCTTGTAGGAAAGTATCTTTCATCATTGTTTGAAGCAACGCGTTTCATGCCTGTTATTTCACCTGTAATTTTTAGTGGCCACGCGTCTTTTAATTGAACTCTATTTTTTCCGAGTTATGTCCGAGTTAAAACTTTCTAGTTCCGGTGCGTGTCCTGTGAAATTAAGGCTCTTTGGCGGAGCAAAATTTTTTTTTAGAAGCGCTCCTCAATAGTAATCTGAGGCATAAGATACAAACTATATGGAGTAGAACAACTTTTTTAGCTTGAACAAACAATGTCGAATCACCAAAGAAGGAAGGAAAAACTCAGTATTTTTTTGAGCATTCGTGTAGCAGTTATGATCAATTATGTCAATCATATTAACCATTGGTACTCAATGGTTTATTAATGGTATTAATTAATAGTTGAGTACACCTACTTGCAGAAAATTTTCCATGAGAGCAATTTATGGCAGACGCAAGAGGTTAACCTGGAACCTATCATGCTTTGCATGGTAAGCGCATGCCATGATATGTATATTTATAATATTCACACGGTAAAAGGAGATTGAACGCTTCGAAACGCGGTGTTGATTCAAAAAACGAAAAAAATATTTTTAAACATGTCGCAGATTATTGAAATATGAGGAACACCAACGATGCCGTAACATACGTGAGTACGGGTCTCTACTTTTTTCTTAAGGGGTAACTTAATCAAACACGTGTTGTCGATGCACTTGTTCAGATCATAACAATTCAATCGAAGCTCTTAGTAACTCAGTAGTAACACGATAACGAGTGCTCAAGTGAGGATCTATTATTAACACCTCTTTCTCAAGTTTGCAAAGAGCTCGCTCATGTTGCATACTTTTCTCTTTGGAATATCACCAAGCAGTTTCAACTAATAAGAAATTCCCTATCAAGTACTGCACAAAGAATTACAAAATACATACATTGCTAGCTGTTGGCTAAAGCACGCACAAGGACTGCGTCCTTCTTCAACAATACAAAAAATCATTCTAATTTAAATACACATTTTCACAACGATTCTAAATCTGAAAGATTTAGACATGAAGTAAACAACTGTGAATATGATTCGCGAACTATAGTTAGGTTAGTTGTTCCTAAAAAATCACACAAGACGTTGGTCAGTTACGGTTGGCCAAACAATTTTATAGCAAAAAGAATTTTACAATACTCATGTTGCTTCTCCCCCAGCAAGGGGTATGTTACTGTTTGTTTAAAACCTCCTAATTAATCAGGTTGAAAATCGTCTATGGAATGTTCACTTCCTGCTTTAATCATTTCCTGCATCTCAGTTGGGTTCATGCTCTGATTTAGCTGGAGCCTCAAACTTAATGGATGTTGTGTCGATTTTGATTGAGATCACTAATTTAGCTGCTGTCTCTGATCTAGTTAGGCCTTCTAGAAAAACAGGGGCTTCTGAGGGGACCGGCCGTTCAGTTCTGAACTGGAGTATCAATGACAGCATCCGGTGGGGTTTGGCCTTGTGGTGATGCTGTCGTTTGTTGTGCCGCCCTCTCCGATGTTAAAGTTGTGCATGCTGGGGTTGTTCCTCCGAGTTCAGGCACACTATCGGTCCCTGTGCCGAGACTTCTCAGAACGACGCTATCTGGCAGCATACTATCTGGATGAGACTCGCAACCTAGCTTCAATGATGTTGTGGTTTGAACGCCCACTGGTGTGCTTTCGAACGGAGCACTATCTGGTGTAGGAATAAAACCTGGAGAAGGAACATCACTTCCTGTTTCTGGAGCGGCTTTATTATCTTGAGGTGCCGTGGTTTCTACATCTGAGGGAGCTGCGCCATCTTGTGGTGTTTCAGCAAAAGCTTCTGCGTCATCAGACTGTCTTGTCGCTTCGACCGTTTCGGTGTCCTGTGGAGCGGCGGTCTTTGGAAATCTTGCCATCTCTAGCGGTGCTTCTCCAACAATTACTGACAGCGCGATTTTGGAAATCCTCGAAGAAGATGAACGCCTCGTTGAGGGTGAAGGTAGGTCTATTGGTGACAGTGAAACTCCAGGTAAAGAGCTCTTTGATGAAATTTCGTTCTTTGGAATAGTTGCTTCCTCAGGTACAGTTGCGCTCTTCAATACAGCTGCGCCAGTTGCTGTTCCTTTTGATGTCGTAGCGCCTTCGGATAGAGCTTCGAATTTAGCAAGGGTCGTTGTTTTAGATGGAATTCTGCATTCAGCTAGAGCCTCGCCTTCGGAATGAGTTGCATCTTTAAATGAAGGAGTCTCCTTATACAAAGATGCGCATTCAGATAACGGTTCTCTCTTTGTTGAGGGTTGCAACAGATGATCGTTACTTGAAGAAACTGCGCCAGTCTGCATGAGTGGACCTTTTTTTTGTTTTGGAACTAGAGGTGGAGAAGCGCTTTTCGATGTAGGTGCACCTGTTTGCGCGCGTTCTCCTTTTCGTGAGAACGCTCTACTTGACAAGCTGGCTCCTCTTGGCGAAGAACGACCGCTTGGTGGAGGTGCGCGTTGTATTTGACTCGCCTCCTTTAAAGCAGATTCATCTTTCGAGCTCGGTAGTGCCGGTGGCGGTACAACTGTTAATAATCCTCCACCTCCCGCTAGTAAAGCCACTTCAGGCCGCGGAGAGCTTCCGCCTCGTGGGGAAATCGAAGCCTGAGAAGATGAAGCAACAGGCGCAGTTGCTGGTGGTAGTGTATTTAGAAGGGGGCGTTCAGAGTGACGCCTATTAGCTGTTGGGGCTGCTAGAGGTTGTGGAAGCAGACCAGTAAGGGGAGGGGCATAATCTTGTTGGGGTGCAACAGCTAGTGGCAGTGTACTAGGTGTTGGGTGCCGGCTAGGTGCTACGGATGCAAATGTGGGTGAAGTTTCATATCCTTGATAAGGCGTTTCTAGGGAAGGAGCTGCTAAAAGCTGTTGAGCTTGGCTCATAGGTAAAGTTCCATATGTTCCATACGCTAACGGACCAGCTGGGGAGGGTGCCCCAACGGGCATTCCCACAGGGGGGGCTGCTACGGGTACACCTGTTAGTGGGTACCCATATGTTGGTGGCAGAGGAGGAGGAGGCGGGTATCCATATGTTGGTGGGAAAGGATACATCGGTGGATACAGTCCTACCTGTGGGTACATATAGGTTGAAGGAAATGGACCATAGGGTGAGGGGAACGAGCCACCTGGTGGAAGCGCACCGGCTGAAAGAGAAATGCTGCACTGAGGAAACTGAAAGGCTGGTGAGGCCACCCCCTCTGGTGAGCGGAAACCGGCTACTGGGCGTGTATATGGCAATGAAGACGGACCGGCTGATGTAGAAGGAGCGCCTGGAGGAGGTACACCGGGTGTTAGCGTGGCAAATGCTGGTGGAGGCGCTGCTGACGTTGGGGAAGGACCTGCTGGTAGAAAATGGCTAGCTGGATAGCGTCCTGGCTGGCTGGGTGGCAGGGTTTGGCTAGGTGGTGGGAAAGGTACTTGGGGCACACTAGCTGCTGGCGGTGCTTTCACTGCTGGTGGAAGCTCAACTTGGCCGAACGCGCTTTGTGGAGCTGCAAACCCTGATCGCGGGACGTTCGCTAGCAAAGGAACATTCGTGGGTAAGGGTGTGCTTCCAGTAGGAGCAGCATCCTGCGATAGGTGCCTTATAGCAGGTTCAAGTTTTTTTGAAGGTGGGCTCTTGACTCCCGGACCCGCGCTTTCCGTCCAGGGTGCCCCTTTTCTTAGGATGTCATTATTTAATGGTAGTGCACTACTCTGAGGCGATGCGGTGACTTGTGGCAGTGCCTTTTCTTGTGGTTTCTGTTTCAGGTCAGACATAATTTTGAAGGCTCTATTGTTCCTTTATGATTTGGTCGGAAGTTGTAGAGTCTGTTGAAGACAAAGCAAAATGGAACAATACTATTCTGAGGGGCGAAATTGATTTGAGCAATGGCATCAAAATGCTTTGTACCGAGAATTGTGTGTAATGTTATTTAATATATAAATCCATGATTTACAACTTTAATTTGGCCACTTCATCTGTACTTTTTCTATTTACAACTGACAACTCTATTTACAACTAATCTATGATGCACATCGGGATTAAGATGCCTTACGAGAACACGTGCAACGAAAGATTATTACCAGCCCCAGAAATTTCGTGTTAATTAATGAGAGGTATGATGCTAGTTAGTACTATCGATTCTCGATCTAGCTATACGACTGAACGCTAGTCATATTCCGGCTCAATTTTGCGACACGCTACCAACGGTATCCGCATACAAATCGAACTTATCCTTGACTCAGTTATCAATGACATTGCGTAGATGGTGTGAATAGGTTACATGCACACATTTCTCAAAAAAAAAAAAAGCCATTTTTGGAATCTGTTTGCCCACAACGTGAAACAATCTTCCTATTTGCCTCTTCCCTTAGTATGGTTTTAAGAATGAGGCGATCAGGGTCAAAGCATTGGAAGTCTTCTCAACAGTCGAATTAAAATGACCTAGCACAACATTATTCGCTTAGCTCCCAATACATAATAAAGCCTTTACATTTAAGCCACGATCGCGCCGTAATTATACACTGCAAACTTTCTTTAGTCTCTCACTTCCTCCCTCGCCTGTTCAAATTTAAACGCCATTAAACTTCCATCGAACGACTCGTTACAAGAGAAGCAAATTACATGTTTTTTTACTTCTACAATATCCTCTAAACCGTACAAAACTGTTACGTTTAACATCCAGATATCCAGCGACTAACCATTCTCTGTGTCATCCTATCGCTGTCATTTGGCTAGATAACACATCAGCGGAACTAAGACGCACTAGTTCTCAGAAATTAGTAAGATATCTTAGGATAGAAGTGCAACAGTAGTAACAAACTCGATAGCTTATTGGTGTTTTTTTTTTCTAAAAACTACACCTGATAATCAGCAAGACTTGCCAATCGATTTGTTATGAAATATAGTTCCGGGAACCTCAGCTTGCAGCACTGCGGCCCACCAGTTAGACAAAAGCAGATGGAACAAAGATCTTCAGCCAGAGTAAAAACGACTTTTTCATTTTAGGCTTTGCGTATTCTGTACGCGAAGCTACTCGATATCTACACCTGTAGCATTTTGTGTTACGCCTCCCAAGGTTGCATTGTCTGCGTAAGTTTCGGCACCTAGTTTGAAAGGTGCGTTCGTTTTTGGAGCTTTTAGTGTACTATCCGAATACGGTTGGTGTAATACCTGGCGAAAGCAGATCACCCTCTTCTGCCGGCGAGGCCTTCGCCACAATGTCAGTTTCGGGCGACATATCAAAATCTGACCCGAGTTGTGCAGAAGTTTCACCCATTGCCGAAGTACTAACTTTTCTTCTAAGGGCGTCGATTTCTATTGAGGCTGTAATTTCCAACTGAACTTCGATCTCCGCTGACATTATTTCTGTTTCTGCTATAGTCTCAGCCTATGTGAGAGAGTGTAGCGAGAGGTCCGGCTTCAGACTGAGCTTCGGCTTCTACTAGTGCTTCTAAGCCTTGTAGGGGTGAATTCTTTATCGTCGGTGTACGTTTAAATTTAGACAAAGACGCCTCTGCTGATATAGAGAGTCGGCGAAAGTACGTATCGCGAGGATGTAGGCAAAAATTAGACTTTGTACTGGTGCAAATTTTATCCATGAGGAATCTTTCAGCGCAAACGTAGGGGTTGGAGCAAGATCAGTTTTCGCAGTAACGGTAGCCTTAAAGAAAAGCGCAGACTTAAGGGTCTATACGGATCTTGGTACAGATATCCCTTTTACTGAAGAAAATTGAACTTTTTGGCGTAGACACATCCGCAAGCATACTTTTCATCGTTTCATTTTTTAAGCCTGGATCCTTTTCTGAAGCTGTGCTTTTTGACGGAAAGTCTTCTTTAGATTGAGGTAGTTCGTCAGACGGTAGAGTATCTGGCACTACTGGTCCACATTCTAGCGAAGGTGCTCTAGGTTTTCTAGTGAAGTGTTGCGTCAGGCGTATATACATTACCATTTGGCATGGGTAGTCCTTGCTCTTTTGAAGTGCTGTAAGCTGTGAGTACATCAGTTGGTATTAGCATTCCTTTCGATATAGGCACACCATATGGTAAGGTATGGCTTTTAGGCAGAGGTACATTAGATCCACAAATGACGTCTGGTATCTTATCTTTAAGACGACGAACGCCGTCAGATAGGAGTACCTTCTCCAGGGAAGACGCCCCTTCCGCAAGACACGCTCCACCTCGTGTACATCCAACAGTTTGCGTCCAGGTTTCAATCTGTGGGGCTGCGCTGGCTTCCGAAACTACAAGAGGCAATCGAGGTGGTTTCGACAGTGGAGGAATACTAGTTGGAGGAAGCCTCAGAGATAAAACAGGCATATAAGTGTACAGTTTGTTTTTCAGTGATGCGGTACTTTTAGCGTCTTGTGCAACCAACTCTAATTTTACTGCTGATTTAGGCGTAAGGGGAACTCCTTTGACAAGAGCTCGGCTCCCTACAAAAGAGATGTCACTTGCCGGTAGTGGACCTTCCCCTGGATGTGTTGTTTTCAATTGGAATGTACATTTCGTTGCTGGTATGATGGGTGAGTTTATTAAACTTACATTTCTCGTCGTAGAAATAACACTTGATGCAGATCTTTCTTCTAGAGGAATATCGCTTTTTGTCACCGATGTTGTACCGAAGATCGCCCCTTTTGCCAGCCGTGACCCACGGGTTGTAATTGCGATTTTTAGGGCAGCTGCTTTGTGGCTAGAAGAATCGTCTTTTGTCGCAGATGCTGTGTGTGTCATATGGAAGCTTTTTACTGTAGGTGGTTCATTTTCCGAAAATACGGTTCCTGAAGGAAAAAGTCCCTTTGTAATAGGTTTTTCAGTAGCATCTGCGCTTTTAGGGGAAGGTATTTTTTTTGCTGGGGATACAGTTCCTAGACAAGGTAGTCCGTTACCCAGAGACCCGGTGTATGGTGGAAAGGCTTCCCTCGTGGGAGCTGGGGTTAGTGGCGAAGGTACAGCTGCTGAAATGCATGTTCTTTTGCTCGGTAGCGCGGTTTGGGGCAAACTGTTTTCGTTCACAGATGCGGCGGGCGAGAGGATTGTTTTTTTCGTGAGAGCTGTACTTAGATTATACCCATTTACCAAATGTGCGATTGGCGGGCTATGACCTTTTTTTTCTAGAACTAACGGAGGTGCACCCTTTGCCGAAGGTGAAGTTTGCAGAAGAGGACAGTCTTTTGTGGAGTGAACTCCACTTATTGATAGCGTGCGTTCTTGCTGATCGTCGCTCTTCGACGGAAGAATACCTTTTGCCAGGTCGGCAGTCTTTGTCGCAGACCTACCTTTTACTGGAGCAACGGCTTTTAGTCGGAGTGATGTCGCATTCTCAGTTTTTGGTGAATGTCTTGAGGGGCATGCTGCTGCCTCGACATAAGGCGGCGATGTATTGTCTAAAAGAGCTTCTTTGGAAAGTGGCGGTCCGCTGGGACCTGACGCTGCACCCGTTGGTGGTTCATTGACATGTTGATTTTGTTCTGCGTTCGAATTCGACATAATTTGGATGGTTTTATTGTTCTTGTATGATTTATTCAGAAGCTGTCGAGCCTGTTGGGGACAAAGCATAATGGAACGATATTCTAAGGACGTGAACGGTATTCAGAATAGGGCACTTGAGCAACAGACATTAATTCTGTACCGAGAATCATACAGTGACTTCCCTTTGACCCGTTGAAAATGCTTAATGTAGAAAGGTCCTTAGTACCTCTTGCTTTATTAACCGGACAGTTCGTTTCTAAAATCATACCATTAACGTACCTCGAAGATATGGCTGTTTTGTGAATTTGTATATAGTTGGAACGGAAATCACACTTATTGGTTGTTTTACTTAATTAACACAGCTGTCTCACAACTAATTGATTTGATTATTTCACTTAAACTACTCACCCTTTGATCGTGGGATAGCACAAACGTCACAGACAGCACAATAGATACCGTCAATATAAATGTGACATCGGAGAGGTGCAGTATAGACCTAAGACGTCACGTTTAAGTATAAAGCACGACATGTTTTTATTTGCAGTTTTTACTGAACAGTTTTTTCTTCTTCTTTTTTTTTTTCTATATAAACTAACGTTTCCTCTTTGACGTACAATAGAAATTTAAACACCAAAAGTGTGAACTAGCTCTAATGCGCTTTGTCGATGTTTACACAATAACCGTAAGCGTGTAATTTCAGTTTTTGCAAGCTAGTTATTAACGCCAAACCGCTATACGATGGAGGTGTCATTGAGCACTTCGATGATGAGACGTAATCACAATTCGTAGTTATTAATGGCCTATTGAGAGAATTTATATAATTTAAAATGATGAAAAACAACGACAGACGTGGCTGTAAGGCATAACGTGTGTCGTAACGGAGCTATGTCAGCTAACGTTGGATCTACGAAACGCTTCTGGCACGTAAGCGCACCGAAAATTTTATGGACCATTATATGGCGACGGTTGCGTCCAGAGCTCTAATGTTTATGGTTCTTAAGGCGTAAAATAATCTTATGAAGTATTGATTTGATACTTATATTTTTTTACTTTATTTAGTAATACTTACATTTAATACTGAGATATTGGTTTAGTAATAGGATTGATTTAACTGTCTCAGTGTTTTAACATAGCGTTGCCAGCCAGGCATTAATTAAAGAATTTACGACATTATCAAAACGTCTCAATGGTAACATTCGACTTCGAACTCCAGAATATTGAAAAGAGCTGACAAATAGAAACGCGTATTTAGCCTGTAACGATAGAAAGATAGATACGATTCTATCTTTCAGAATAAAACAGTATCTATATTCTCTTATACTTTTAATTCTATGGGCAATTCGAAGCGCTTCACTTCATGGAGCAGGGTAAAACGGCTGTCCAGCGTTTACATTTTTGGTAACCCTATGGACGTTGCTCAAACACGCTATTGCAATCATCGGGGCAATAGGGAACTACACAAAAGATTAATTTTTGTTATATTTAGAGGAAAAACTTGAAAAACCGTGTTATTTCACCCGATTTACAATGCAGTACGTATCATACATCAGTTTGGAGTTATCATTTGCACAGAGGCTGATTTAATAGATAATGGATAGTAAGTGCTGGCGGTAACTGAATTTACTCATGAGCCCATAGAAACCCTTTTGTGGTCAATATCTTTGCCATTGCCACATGGAGTTTGAACCGGATTCATGCAGCGGTCTTCGTCTTAAATAATCTTAAACAATTGAAAAAAAAATAATACGTGCCCTGTACCGCAAAAGGAAACCGATTGCAAGTTTATTTGCTCCAGGCTTGACATTGGCGTTCACTGATTAACATTGATTCTTTCCGTACCTTCACTGTGGTCACAACGCCAACGGACGTGTACTACGTATATATGCCACAATAACATTTGCGATGATATTGTATATATCGTATATAGAAACTTGAAAAATAGACTCACGGTGCAGCCCCCTGGTGGCATATAACCGAGAAAACCTGTACTGCCAGACGAGTGAACTACCTAACTGATGATGAGCTTAAGTTGAAGAACTTATAAATTAAATGTCAACTAACGATTTAATTAGCCAATAGCAATGGTAAGCTAGCATAGATCAGTGGATCAGTAGCCAACATAGTAGACAAAAGTTAAGTTTAACTTTTGTCGTAAGTGCTAGTAGATTTCCGAGAGTGCAACTATAGCTTTTGTCAAACAAGAGTATTCAGTACAGATCTACATGCTTGCATGACTAGCCATTACGTCAATAACAGTGCAGTCTACTTTGAAGGTCAACTGATGACCATCAAGGCGTGTATGAAAACCTATCAAACATGACAAGCTTAACAAAATGGTTTATGGTACGTACTTTCTACTCGATTTTCCTGTGTCGTATTGTGCCGCAAAACGTAACAGGTGCCCCTAACGTACCACAGTTACAGCATTCAACTGCACCCACGTCAGCGACGGTCAATGTTTTCCGGTACGACAAAAACAATACCTTCGTTGTTCCATTCGCTTGAGCTCACAATAATATTTAGGGCAGCGTAGAAAATCATCAGAAAACGAAGTTGTTAATTTTTATCCATGGAATTTTTAGTTGTCTTTTCATTGTTGTAGGATTGACTCTTTCTAATGAAATTCAGTTGAACCCCTTCCGAATTCCATTCAAAGCTCATACGTTTTTTTTTTAGAGCGAAAAGTAAAACTTTCAGGTATATGCTATATGAGCTAATATGCGAATTTTCACCTCTGTTTCTGCTCCGTCCCAATATACTTACTACGTATTTAATAACTACTTTTAACTGAAGCTGGAATACGGCCATTTTAGTTTTGAAGAATTCATATACGTAAATAAAATATTGTACGAGGTAGCCTCGGAAGCCTGTTTGCTTGTACGATGGACTCGAGCCTATTCGAGTTTCGGTTGTCGAATAGGATTTTTAGAAAATATATATATTTTTGAGCGAACCTTTGAGGGGTGGCTTAGCGTCCGTTGCGCCAGCCGCCCCGCACGGCTGCTGACAAACCCCGTACGCATAACATAAACAGAATCTGATGATATTTGTACTGTTCAAAATCGAGATCGATAGGATGACGTGTTACACATAGAATTCAGTCTCTATGGCGAAACGAATTGATGGGATCACAGTTTGCTCATTAGAGTCAATTTACGAACGGTCTCCCCTTTTCAAAATGATCCGTTGTTTCGCAGAGCTTATTTCAAATAGTATACTTGCTATACTCGATCAACTCTCATCTTTGGCGGTACCTCGTATAGAATGTGGTTAAAAGTTGCGTCGCTGAGATTTCTCTAAGGACGGTGGCCGAACATATTGGCGCGATGATGCAAAATCTGGTTTTTGTTCGTTAACTACGACGTCAATTTCTTTCACTCTCACCTCCCTGTAAACTAAAGAGCTTGCAAAAGTAAATCATTTCTATTGCATAAAACGGTTAAAATTACATTGGCTTAAATTAGCGTACCGGGAAGGTGTTTCTGGCAGCTGAGTATAACACTGCCCTATCCTAATTCTTTTCTGGAGCAAACTGCAGGTTTCACCTTGTACAGGCCACAGGACCTCCCTAGAGAATGTATACAAAGTGACCCACGCGTCGTCCATTGATAGCGAAACGTGTTTGGTGCGCATTTGTTGACTAGAATTTTGCAAATTTTATGTGCAGTTAATCACTCGTGCTTCTATCGAATTTCAAGCTGTAGTAGAAGAAGTCGTCGGCACAACTTTCATCACAGTTACTTTGTTACCATTTTTTTCTTCATTCTATAGTATACGATTCGAGAAAAACCATATCTATCCGGGAAATTTGTCAGATTTCAAATTCGATATATACAAGGCGGGTTTTGTCAACTGTAGGACCTGAAGTAAGGCCTTTTTCGTTTTCGTAATGTATGGCGCGCCCACTTCAACCGGCATAGCCCTGAGGTTAATGTTGTTTATACTTTATCGAACGCCTCACTAAACAGCGAGTACGCACTCGCTGGCCAGTTGACTTCCCAACAGGGTTTTAGGATACTGAGTCTGTAGTACGGGCTGCGCAATCGGTGGATATAAAGTAATCGTAACAGAAAATTTAATTATACACACTGGAGGTTCCTAGGGGCTTAAAATCAATACATAACTGATAAACTCGATGCATAGCATCGTTTATAAGGATTAGAAGAGAAATCTGGCTTAGCCTTCAAAAAACCAGCGGCTTGGTCCTAGATCCAATCTAGTTTTGTCTACCTTAACGGTAGAGTCCGAGCACTTGTAGCTGCTGTTTGATGGATAATTACGGTGTTATATTTTAGCATTCTGTTGATAAATATAGTCAGGTTCACGTAATTCGAACATATTTATTTCTATGGGAATTATTTTTCTCTAGAGACGAGATAATAGCACGAACCTAATCATGGACAGCGAACTGTAAAAACGCATTTACAACTGTGTGTTTACAACACGGTTCGATAACTCTACGCACTCGAGCAAAGACGAAAAATTAGGTCATTCCAGAGGAATACTTGAAAGCAAATCGGTAAGCTAAGGTACATTTGGAGCTTTTGGCTTTGTTTCAAGTATACACCTAGCGATCTACGTGAAACAACTTTTCTTGGATGGTAGAATGAACAATTGTATTTTTCCCACCACGTCTAGAAGGCTAAAATGGAAGATATCATTCCAAATATCAAAATACGGATGGATGAAAATAAGAGGTAAGCTCAGCTTTTTTGCTTGCTTAATTTGTTAAAAGTCATGGCCTCTTCCAAGACAATCTACACCACATTGGAAAGGCCCTTTCTGGCTCCTGAATCTTATGTTGTAACAAAATAAATCGTTTGCGTAGACAAGCAAATTTTTGTTTCGCTGCACTGAACTTTATAATGTATACTCACATAGATCTTGTGCTTATTAGAGACCTCACTTCGCAAAACACCTATGCATGTTTAACCACGGTTAGAATATAGCTAGTTCACTAGCGAAGGTACTCCAGAGGTCAAGAAGAAGATGATTACTGCAAAACTGTCCAGGCTGACAGATGGGATATCCTGAAAATTGTAGCTTCTCCTCTGGATAGCTTGTAGTAGCAGTTAATTGAAGAGCCGAACTGTTAGGGTGACGCACAAATTATGGTAAGATTCACCCTAACTCTCCGGTAAGTTAATCAGAACAAAGTCGGCAAACTTGAATTGCTGAGAGTTCGATTTTCAAGAATTAGATAGAGACCGTCTTGGCAGATGCTACCGCCAGAAGACACCGATATTGTCACTGTTCGTAAGAAGCTTGGTATTTACGAGAAAGGCCATTATGATAAAGTATACAAAGCAGTTGTATATGTGGCGTGTGTTCATCAGAAGTAAGCTGAAAGAACGCTACGAAGAAGCTACGTTAGTCATGTCCGTTTTTGATACCTCGGCAGCCGAAACATCTGGTGCTTCTATGTATTCCAAAGCGGAATTGTGAATTTAATAGATGGCAGTAGGCGCTCAATAGGACGAAGGCAAAACAACGAAGTTCCTCAGAGATGATTGGCGTCAACTATTCGAGTTGTACATATTGAGCTAGGGGCACCTCAAGCCGACTGAAAAGTTTGTCTGAATTTAGGAATGTCTGCGGCTTTAAGGATGGCACACCTCAGCATCCAACCGAAACGACCTTTATTGTGCAGGAAGCATTAGGAAGAGGTTCGAGTGGTTAGTTAAAGAGGCTATCTCGGGGGTACATACTGTTGGGGTTCTTGTTGAGACTCGATGTTACGCAAGCGCTTGATATTGATTCATTACGATAACGGGTTCAGCGGCCAAAGTAAATCATCGCATCAATTTAGTACTGGTCAACTTCCATGCGTTCGTAACGGTAGTAACCGTATTAGTAGCATATACTAGAGGAAGATACCGATGTGTGTACACAGGCAGCTAAACGAAACGACCAAAACTATAATCGAACTACATACACTAGGTAGGCTCACTTGAATCCAAACTTAACTTCATAGTTTGCTTGTTTAAATTTATTTAAACAAAAACACAGTGTATATGTTGGTGGTATATACTTGATGCGTCATTCAATATAATATAAACTTCGTTCTTTTGCGCATTTTGTAATAGCTTTGTTTGTAGGTGTGCAAACGCCTTCGTAATACAACGTATGAGCGAGTCGACATTGTCGTCTCAAGGTTGGATACTGACCCATCTATAGTAATTCAATGGGCTCCAAGGGGACGCTACACTGATTGGCTTCTATCAATCGGTGCACCATCGTGCTGGAAAATGCATAGTCTCCATCTAAACATTAAAGTAATCTGCGCCTGCGCAAAGGTTCGTAGAGGATGCGGATACGCTTTTTCAATAATAAGGCGCTCAGCCTCTTAGAGGAAGCAATAGTCAGAGAAAAACAGAATACAGTTTACTGTTACTTTATTCGTAGGAGAACTAAGCGGCAACTGACGACGATCGAACATGCTGCTTTTGGCTGCTTTAGAAAGCGTAGGTCACAACGTTTGATAACGTCCCCCTGCAGGCTTCGTAAACAGCCCCCGACAACATGGGAGTTCGGTTTGGTAGACATCGAACGATGAGCAGAAATACATTTTTAAAGGGCGTTGATTAGAATCCGCACTGCTTTCTCCTTGTCGTGGATTTTCCGTTACTCTGTACAGAGACTTGTTTCTGCTCGTTTCGCTACCGTAAAGCTGTAGTGTCAGTTTGAGTACCGTAAAAGTCTTAATGGGAGTGTGAAAAGCTTCGCTTAAACTGCGATAAATTTGCCCCTATCGTTCTGGAAAGCACCGGTGGTTTTTTAGTGCCGGGATATTTGTAAAGTGAAACATCATACGCATGAAAACAAATAGATTTATACAATTTTACTATTAACAGGAATATTGTAGGGTTAAGCCGTCATAGTCACTATCGTAACACAAATCCGTAAACATTCTGATAATCCCTAGTCGTAGTCAGTCGAATATTTAGGATAAACAGCCGCACTAATCCTTCTACGAACACTAAAATCACGAATATACTTCTAGTCAAAGAAGCAATATCACAGACCGCTTAGTGAGAATCTTATTCAAAAAGAACATTAGCCGACAGGGGCAAAACAATTTGATATTGTCATAGGCAAAAACAAAGGCGTATTAAATTCATTGATTGATTGATTGATGTAAAGATTCCGAAATAGATTAAGAATGGATTTTCTCTATGGTTATCTATACGGGTAATTGGAAAAAGATTAAGCATCAAAAATTCACATCGTTTAGAGCCATTAACCAGGCGTAAATGTAAATCGCTCTAAATTACATTTTTCATAGCGGCGATAACTTACCTTATCGAATAACATAGGAGTTACAAGCAAGCATCAAATCGCAACCGTAAAGTAAGTTGTGTCACTCCATATTTAATAAGAACAAAAAATCCTTTGGTCATCTATCATATTATTTCAATAATTTTTATGTACGAATCCTGTAGGACTGGAAAAATCATCTGTACTAAGCATATATGCCGCACTGACTTACTACTATCTAAACTGGGCATTCCGAATCAAACGGAATTTATCCGCGGCTTTATAATTGACCACTTATATACACATACGCGAAGTTATATTGAATCACTCGTTTGCTCGAATAAGCAAAATAATATGAATAAAATAAGTGACGATAAAATCAAACTATAAAATAATCTGAAGAGTCCGTTTTTACCGCCCTCTATAGAACTAAAGCGATATGTTCGACACGTTTCCTATGAACTACTAAACAGGATGTCAGACGTGGCTACACTGGTACCTTATCAGGAACTTGCGTATAGTACGCGCAGACTGAATTCAAGCTTAACTTGACTTTAAGCTGAGGAGTATAGAACCTGCTGTACTTGAAGTGCGATAGAGCATACTGAGATTACAACGCTAGGCAGCAAAGAAGTCCCTCGAAAAGGAGTACCTTCTCCAATCCTGTTTTTGCTGTCTTTGTAAATTCGCGAAAAGGATACCAACATGCTTTAAGCCTTTGACGACTGAGCACTATAGAGCAGGCTGTCGATTTACTCTGCAGACGCTGGGGACGCTTTATCTGTATTTGGGAAACTCCATATTTAAGACCGAACAAGGCTTGAAGCTAAAGCTGTGTGAAACAAAATTCCGGGACCCTCACACGGTACCACCTCTGGAAGTATGCTAATGGAACCGGTTGGGTCCCACTCACGAATGGACCCTTTTTTTCGTAAGGCACATGTAAAAGTTTGCGTATACCGCTTAAACGGTGGCGCATAACGGTTGAATAAAATGTAACAGTAGTTCGATAGATGCGTAGGTGGTTGTCATTTACCGAAGCTCTATTGGGTGGAGCGTACGAACCATTTACCGACCTTTTACTATCGGGATTCAGAAATTTAATCTGTCGATCTATCAGGACAGAAGATAAATATGGCAGAGGCGACAGTGCAATAATAAAATAATGCGTTAGTTGAGCCTGAGACAGGCGCAGCAGTGGTGATCGCGGATAGACTCAGTTCCGTGCTTGGACTCAGCCGTCTGAGCAAATGTCTGACGGCAATACCGGACGTAAAATTCGAAACATTAAGGCGATAGTGTTTTGCCTACGCTCGATTAAGCAGCCTATGCTCCGCACTTCAGTCCGGATCGCCTGCTAGCCTTTGGAAATAAGCCACCGTATCAATGCTGAATTTGCGAGGCAACATGAGCAAGGAGCTTATTGTACAACTTGAAACAAATCAGTGAGGGACTATCACATATCGACAGTAGCCAAATGTAACAGTTTAAAGGCACCTTGGAGAGGCACTTGTAAATAGAAGTAGAAGCCAAAACACACGAATTACAAAGATGTTGGTAATAGTATATATAGTTCGCATATTTATCTAGATTTTCTACCGAATTATACTTATCAGACATACGATCTGGAAGAGAATTGCTTTCATTATAGCTACTGCAAAGATCGTCTCGGGTTGCTTATGCTGCTCCCTCCGAAAAGTATATAATAATAGCTAATTGAGGGCAACGTAAGTTTACCGAATTATAACTGCTGGAGTAAGTTAACGCGAAACGCCGCGTGATCAAACCACACTCGTAATGTAACGTAACTAGAATTAGCTAACGTAAAGAAGCCTAAGACCTGCGGGTATTACATTTACGACGAGCTAATATCTTCCGTTAATCTTTTCAAAGGCAAATGATATTCCATCCAAACAATCAGGAATCATACACTGAGCACCGTAGGTTCTGTCGTCTATTTGACCCTGTGAGTCAAGATATAAGAAAGGATGATAGTAGAACGTTGAGAGTCTTTGCTAATTGCAATCCGACTTATGTTTCTCGTGTCACCCACTATGCTTCCCAATCGAATGCTCAGTCACTGACAGCAGGGCCATTTTACCAGTACAATAGAACAAAAATTATGCGTGTCCTTGAACGTACACGACGATAGTTACAACTCTCGCGTTGACCCTCTACTTATTGGCTCTAGTTTTATGAAGGTCCTTGAGGCTCAATCAGCCCCACATGACCTTGTACATATAGACGGCGGTGGTTGGGATAGTGCATCAGTTCTACTTTTTGTAATACTGGAGTATTATTGCAGTTGCTTTTTTACCTTTTTAGAGAGTATCTTTTTGGTGACTCTCTGAGATCTAATTACACCATAAAACAATACATTAGTAGTTGGCGTTCCAAAACGCCAGTACAGATTACCTCTGCTGAGATTAACTCAGTGGTAGCCTCGATCAAAAGTAATAATAACAAAATGACTGTTTATATTTTTTGAGCCGTTAGGTAAATTTTGAGACGGACGGACGTTACACTGGTTTAGACCGACGTAAATTAATTGCCCACGTCTTCCTACGAGACGGATAAGGCACTTCGCTTCTCGGCGAAAGAAGTAGTGCAAAATTTTAAAAATAAAAACGTACGATTTTTTTCGGAAACTTTGGTTTTCAATAAAGGTGAACACAGCACAATTAATACCAGAAAAGTCGGCTTGTTTTTGGAAGTAATAAAAAAAATTGGGTGTCTAAGATATTGTTTTTGAGGTATATAGTTCAACGAAAGGCTAGAACCCTTGCTGTCACTTCGCCATAAAAGATGGCTTCTCTGTATGGTCTTTCGGTGCATAAGACCTACATTCAAAACTGTGGTAGGTTCGCCGAGCCGAAGCGATGTAGCGAGTATATAGTTTGATACAACATAAAGTCACCGAGGCAGCGCTTGCCTAAGGCTCGCTCCTAAATACCCAGTACAACGGTGACAGATGTCTTCATCAATGTCCTTGTATAAGATAAATTCATATTTTATAATGAATTTTATTTACAGTGAAAGCAGCAAAGTTAGCAGAATTAAACTGAAAAAGCATATTGAAAGGGCTCTTTTTCAATTTTTAATTGGCGTTACCTAATGCGATATGTCAATTGAAGACGACGTTAAACAAACATAATTTCGCACTTCATTATGGGATAAATTATGTGGTTATAGAATTTCTTAGATCTGCTCCCCTTATTCGTATGATCATCGTCAGACAAGCAGATACTGTAACCAAAAGAATAAAATGTAGTTATAGTAGATGCAATTCTCTCATCAACTTAATAGGCACTAACTTCACATTGATTATTTTTTTCAGGATGGCTTGTTGTAAGAGGCGTGTCACTAGCGAAGTTTTGGCTGCTTTTATAAGCGATGAAAAAATTTAGGCTTGCCATAGATTTAGCATATGGGAGACCAGTAAGCTTGCCCTGCCAGCAAGAGAAGGAATGCCTTTCTGAGCTATTCGACCGTACCATAGGAGGCTACATGTCTAACTGCGATGGGAATTAAAAGCGCAGGAGACTATGTGTAACCCTTTCACTATGATCGAGTACAACGATGTACTACGAAGAGCAAGGCGGATTCGTGAATCCGGAAATTCATTAGCTCTCGGGGGTACGAAAAGGCCGAATACTAAGAGTGTCAGTCACTGGTTGACTGTAAAATAGGCACGAGAGGAGTTAAACCTTTTTAGCGATCGTTTGATAACAACAGCACTACGGGCTATATACTGTCATTCAGAAGCGTCAAGATTCTGTTATACTGCTATAGAGCATATTCGTTAGACGAATCCTTCTTCTCTGTCTTTCGTTTCTTCAATTCCTGGATTCCCATCAAAACCCTTTGGCTGTTTGGCTCCAAACAAATGTGATCCTGTGAACATAGCTTGAATGCAACACAGCTAGCCCTGTAACGATATGGGCGGTCAGTACGGTGGTATTACTGCTTACCCCGCCAAAGTATATTCTTAGTAATTGGTTAAATAAATGAGTTCTTACAAAAGTTCGAAGTCGATCGGTAGGCTTGTGCTTTATATTTTTATATATTGCTTCTGTTTTCATCTTTAATTTTTTTTTTTGCTTATGCCAAAGAGGCTAGTTTAATATTTCAAAACAACACTATTTTATGCGACATCTCGTAAATGTCTCTGAGTGTCCTTGTTTTTCTAGAATATGAGACCGCTTGCTAGGATCCTCTTCCTTGGACATTTAATGAGTAAGTTACAATTGCCTCCCTGGATACTTAGCGAGTAACGTATATGCCTGCTAATTCTAGGGGTACGTTGCGGTCTGGGTTCAAACCCTGGCATAGATGCGCTTTATTCCGTGCCGAGAGCCAGGCACCTAAAGGAACGCCTAACACCATTACCCGACGTAAAACTAGACATAAAGACAGATGAGGTGCATTGTTTCATAATTAACCTGAAAATTTTACTGGTTTATGAACATGACGCCTATTTTGAACTTATAAACCTTGCTTTCCGTATAAACTTCGCATACGGTCAGAGACGTACCACCTATCATGAACCGTTGATTTCAAAAATCCCGCGAACGAAATTTTGACCTCGAAGAGAGGTCTCGTTAAAGCCTCCCTACGAAGCTGAATAAAAATGTTGAAGGTTGTCATAGAAGTCGACGCATCTCAGAGTACACGCCTGTTTGCTTTTAGGTTTAGGGTATGTAAAATTACTACACTCGTTTACCTTGCTTAAATTAATCGGGTAGACAAATTAGAAAAGTAAATGCCTTATGAGTTGACAGAAAATCCAAAACAAAGACCTAACAGAGCATGTGAGCAGCTCACTATAGCAAACGGAAGAGTAGCAAACTTATGAGGCTCTACAGAAAACCAGTTGAGTCGATGGTTCAAAATTACGCGCGATTCGTGATAGAACGAAGCCTATGTAAAACAATACATGGTCAAGTAGGGAAGATTAAACAGAGTACGTTGTAGAATAGTACTTATCGTGAGGCTCTAAAAAAGCAACGTTTCTGTTGTGACCATAATCGTTCGTTTCTTCTCACAGTCTTTAAATTTTTTTTTTTTTACTGCAACCCCGTAAAGCGTTTTCCAAATCACGCAGGAGTGTATATAGGTCGCGCATGGACGACAAGAGGAGCCGAGTCGGCATGATCGACAGTTGCACACGACTTATGGCTCTATTAACGTGCGTCATACAAAAGTGTTTTTTTCTCATTAACCAGAATATATGGTTTTACTGAACCATATGTTCCACTGATTATCTGTAGTATTTAGTGCCGGAATTTACCGTGTGCAGTGCTTATTAATACAGGCCCATTAAAAATCTATTTTTTTTTTGCGCTCGAGAACAAATATTGATTCAGAAAAAAAGTCAAGTATGCCACTAATGATACAAACAATCAAATTCAAGCTAGACAGCTGTATTGCATAGATGAGTCTGATTTTTCCAGAAAACTTCAGTCACTAACTACAATTACTGGAGACAGAGATAGAGCAACGCATTCGGTCTCAGCCTACGTAAGTTATTCTTACGTTTAGCGTACGGGTGAATTAACTTTATTTGGCAAACAATTCATATGCCTGTCAAAACACGTGCGCGATTCAGCTCTTGGGGTGAGTAGGCTAAATTTTCATGAGACGTAGCCTGGCGTTCGATCTTCACTTATCTTACATTGGCATATAATGCCATATATGAAGAGAGAGAAAATTCAACATAGAGTATTTATGTCAAGTTCAAGGAAATGTTGCATAGCTTGCTTAAATTTTACTTATAAGCAATGTGAGAAAGAACATATTGAATAGCAAAGCTCCGTCGTATCCTAGTTGCAGAATGCAATCCATACTATTACATATGGTATAATGTATGGAAGATTAAAACGAATGGTAACAGCGCACCTTCTCAATCGTAGTGATCATGGTTGTTCCAGCGTGTGGTCGACCATCGTTGTCACTATAACCTATACGCATTTACTTGCCACCGATAACTGTACCCTATAATTTCCTGTTTATTCCTAAACTTATCAAACAACTTGAAATGATATTGTGATTAAATGTTTGCCAACTGACTGACTAACGAGCCGTAGTGTAACATCCTAGAACGCAGTTTTCATTTATGGGTGTCAGAGTGGTCCGATCAGCACGGCGCCCGCTACATCGTGCCTACCTCCTCAAAATGTCAGATTAGCTATTGCTTTTCCGGCCATTGGTTGATATTGACGAGCATTAAAAGCATCTGCAAGTATTTCATTTTTAATCTGCAAAAATCACTTCGAATTACTGTCTAAGCAGTTATCAGAAATTTCCGCCCACCCTCCGTTCCTTCGTCATGAAATGCTTACCACATGACCCAGGTGGGCTAATAGTCGGCATAGTAAATCTCCCGACTGTGTTGCGTGCGTGCGTCACAGTGGAAGTAAGAACTGCCTAAGAAAAAAAAATTGCAGCATTTCAATGCTCTTGCAACGATAAGTGTCGTATTATTATAAAAAAGAAACTTTGAGTAGCTCCCTACCGTTCCCGGGCGACCTTTGTACGAGCGCAAAGGGGCGATGAGCCTGCTTGATCATTGCGGACAGAAAGATAATTCGTTTGTTTTTTTTTTCAGCTAAATACTTTAGAGACAACGTATTAATGCTAAGAATCTAATTTGGGCTTCTAGTGACTCATCCTCCGAAATTGCTTATTCCAAAAAATAGATTTCAATAGTGTTCACATTATGCTGCCCTGACAAAATGTCAAAATGATTTCTTCTTATTTAGAAGAAGTCATTTGTAATTTTCGTTAAGGAAGCTTTATTGACAGAGCAGTTTTTTTTTCGATGCGAGTAAATAAATTGAGTACCTTATTCCACTTATTGTTACATGAGAATAATTGTATCCCTTATGTTGAGACTATTGGATTGGAGGGGCTATTTACTGTCACTATATTTGAAACGTCCAAGACGCCTTGTTGAAGAAGTTGTATATAAATGCTTATCATTTCCGTATAGAGTTTTAGAGGAGGCAAATGATGGTGAACTTCTTTATATACAAGAAGAGGCAAACGATATTATGCTGCAACGAAGGTAAAACGTCTATCACGCTCACTTAGTTGTTCGTTCGGACAAGATACGCACAGGTCTGTCCTATCACTGTCAAGTGACGGATTATGAGTTGAAAAACTGGGTCATTAAAAGGAAGGCTGATGGTGACACGGGGAAATTTCATACAGCTTTGATCAGGTACCGAGTCGCTACTTTGCACTGCAGCGACCCTGCTTTAGAAAACGCTCTCTGTGTACTCTTCGTTATCAATGTACCATTCATCTTTTCTCTTGAGCGCTTAAGCGGGAAATGGCAACCTTGTTACGTTTTGTCTTGGCGCGTCCAAAGAAACGATACTATTTGTTAAGTCAAGAAAGGAAATATACGCTCTATTTGGCTCACGCTGACCAACTTAAACGTATATTCAGTTATTCAAAGTGTTTTCAAAGGCTAAAAAAATGCAGTCTAGTATGTGTGACAAACAGAATGTATTTGTCGAGGGTGCCTGAAATAGTTTGTTGTTAAGTTTTTACGTAATGCCGTTTTCCAGATCGAAACAGCGGCCTATACACAACCGTTCTCTGGGATGATCGTTTTTGGGCATTATTTTCAGGTCCGAACTTGGGAAGGCGAAAGAGTTGATTTTCGCATCGATTCATCAGGATTGCTATCAGTGGGAGAACTGAAATCTACAAAACAGCTCAAAAATTAGAACCTACGTCGTTGTTAAGACAATGAAAATAGTTTGTAAAATATGGCAATTCTATGCCAGCGCATATCTTCAACTTATATGACCTAACCCGTTCTGCCACTTCTACACCGATTTTTTATAGACATAGAAAAAGCCTAATATAAATCTTCCTCAAATCCCTATTGCATATTGCCTAAAGAAGTCAACGTTCCTACATTATTGTGACGTTCTATGGTAGAAAGAAATTATCCCCGTGGAAGTATATTAATCTAATCAACGAGTACGATTTATATTTGTCGAAAATATAGTTTGCAATTTTTCATTCATGAATTATTTTGGCTGGGTTGTGGATATTTGAAAAATCAAGAGTATGTCCTAAATCCAATAAGATAGATGCCTGATTCATAAGGCATGGAAAAAACGAGCCACCCTTCAACATAAACCTTTGATGAATTTTCAACGATTATTGAGAAAATCGCAAATTGGAGCCTTTAAATTAGGCCTAATAAACAATAAGTGAATTTGAAGCTGATGAGCTAAATCAGGTCCTTCGCTATCTACGACTGTAAGCGTATTGAACATTAAAGGAGTTTAGATGCAAACTAAAAAGCACCACTTAGTGATTAACTTTCCCTTTCTCAAAAACAATACAAAATATGGCCTTTAGAAAAGCAACATTTTTTTTTATAGATGCAACCATGTTAAGGACAGAAATTGGAAGGTTGAAAATCACAGAGAATATGCTTACAGTTTGGGACGTCAAACGGAAGAATGAGTTGCTGTTACGACGGAAGCTTTTGGACAATACGTTTGATGATGGCGAGAAAAAGGCAATGAACAAGATCGAAGTCAGACCTTAGATAGAGTTCAAAAATGTTTTTTAATAAAACTTTGTTATGTGTTGTTAGAAAATAAAATCTAAGTATAGAAGGTCACACAATTGCTATCGAACCGCTTTAACATATCTATCTAAATTGATCAACACAATAGCTGCAAGCCGCATTGAATGAAACGGCCTTAGGCCTTTGGATCTAAATACGAAATCAGCCTTCGTTATGCAGCACCTAGTATTGGTGTGCACCTTTCACTAACTTGAGCGATTTTACTAAATAAACTGATCACAAAAACGATATCCAGCATAACATCCGGCTTTATTTTTCAGTACATTAAGATTTACGCTTTTAATTTCTTTGCAAACAGTAAAGCCGAGTGTA